GGGCCCTGGGAGGCACTGACTGCCGGTTAGGCTCCTATAGCACCCAACCTAACCACCCGAGGCCCCCACCTTCGAGGTCGACCTCTTCGACCCCACTACCGAGGTCGGTCCTCCACATCGAGCCACGTCCTATCCGCTGGCGAGAAACCGAGGCTCGTTTCCACGCAGACGTCGAACCATTCGTTCTCCCGATGGAGTCGACTCTGTCGCTTCCACGCCTCCTGGGGGCAGCTGCGGGACACTTGGCCGGTTCGAGCCGCCAACAAAATGGCCGACAGACCTAATCGATTCGTACCTCGACCCTCTCCTCTCCTCTTTATCGAGCCTCACCCGATATCTCCGTCGCTCTCGACGATGCTGATCCGAACCCACGACCAGATATCTATCCGCTGCCAAAGACGTTAAACAGTTCCTCTGGCCACTGGCTTCCTCGAATCGCGTCTCTGACCTGCCTGTCAAACTGCCGACGACCTGTTGTCTTTCTCGACTTTCGTTATGTACCATCCACGTATCCGCCCGCGGAGGAGGAGCCCGGAGCTCCGAAGAGCTGAGATTCTTTTTTCTCGCGCGATTCCGAATATCGCCTTGCCGCTTTATTGATTCGCTGCGTTCCCGGATGCCTCCAATCCTTTTGTCTCCAGAATACTGCACGCGGCTTCTCCTCGGACTCACGCTTCATGGCGGTGTCTTTCTAACAACAGAAAATTCTGAGGTCTTCGAAAATTCTGCGGATTGACATTTTTAGCGGAGGAGGAGCGCTCTTGGGTCTTCCGGGTCTTCTGGGATTTGGAACCTTTCGGAGTACTTGTAATTGAATCTTTGGTGTTTGGTTTCGGTGAGGTTTGATCTAATCGAGGTTCGATTTGTGGAAGAAATGGTTTGCAGGGTACATTGTATTTTAATTCGAAAGACATGGAGCTGTGGTAGAGTAAGACGATTTTCAGAATCGATCATTTGGATTATTTTTATTAATAACAATTTTTGGAAATTCTTTACTCTCTTATTTGGGAATTCTTGTAATTGTAGCTTATGTTTGATTTGAGTTTGTTCGATTTATGGGGCATTTGTGGAACAAAATGTTTAATAGGTTCATTTTCTTTTAATGCGAGATCCTTGTAGCTTTGAGAGGTTCAGTTAGGAAAATGGAGAAAAAAAGTCAGTTTCAAATCCTTCGATCATTCGTGTTATTTTTATGATTAATAATTATATAAGTTCAATTGCATTTGTGAAGTTTATAAATTTTAAGTAAGAAACATTTTTATAAATTGTAAATGTATTTACAAATTTTAGGTAAACGATTTTATAAATTTTAAGTAAATGACGTTTTTATAAATTTTAAGTAAATGACGTTTTTATAAATTTTAAGTAAATGACGTTTTTATAAATTTTATAAATTCTGAGCAAGTGTAGTAAATTTTATAGATTGCAAACGTATTTAAAAAATTTTAAGTAAACGAATTTGCAAATTTGATAAACTTTAAGTAAATTTACTTTTATCAGTCTTTCAAATTTTATAAACTTTTTACAAGCTTTTAAGATTAAGTAATGTAATTTCTGGTTTAATTTGAAAAAACTCTACGAGTCTTTTCTCTAAAATTTTTAATATTGCATTAATGTGTACCTTTCGAGTATTCAAAGTATTCGATTCATCCGTTCGCGCGTGAATCGAATTATTAAAGAGGATGCTTCGTTAATATGACTAATTTCACAAATCGCACAGGAAAATCTAGTTCCTTCATTTTATAAATGTATCTTTGTTTTCAGAAAATTTTAACAAAATATTGTACATGGCTGAACATAACTTTTCACTACTTTAATCTCATTATTATTATATGTCTCACTTTTTTTTAATTTTTACATTTAATTATGTTACGTGTTTCAATAATTTAGACTGAAGTAGTAAATATTTAACATTTTATTAATTTTGCATGAAATCATTCGAAGAAATTGTATTAAATAAATTATTATTACATCTGTTTTCATAAATTTCCTTTTTATATTTTCAACCTGTTACTTGCATTTTCAATTTGCTAATTAATTTTTATTTAATTTCAGCAAATTAATTACTATTAGAATTTATTTAAAATTTTAATTATTTCAGACTACATACAATATTTCCAAAAATTCCTTTAAATATTAATATCAAATTTTTGCTGTATAATTTCATAATTTCACTATTTAAATTGAGTTAACTCTGACTAGAATACATATAAGGTACACTTAAACTCTGTTGTTAAGTAGAACTTCATCATTAACAAAATTATATAAATAAATGCATAAAATAGAATAAAATATAACTTATAATACTATCTTCACTTATTTCATTAAAATTGTTGCATATTTCTATAATATGCTACAAACCTTAACTTGAAGATTAACCTTACATATTAATTACATTATTTGTAATAAATAATAAGTAATTCGTTATATATTAATTTTATTTCCCCTAAATTACTGAATTGTTATTATACACAATTATTTAAATTACTGAGTTATTATTATATATGATTATTTGAATTGTTAATAATATTATACATGATTATACAAATTAAAACTAATCATAGTAAAACTACTTATAAACTAAACTATTAGCTAAAATATTTCTTATTACATACATTACTTAATTTTAGCTATATTAAGTTAATGCAAGTTAACGCAATTAAAAATGACAGACTTTTTATTTATTTTCATTTATAGAAATTAGCGAAATTTTGTTAAGGATTAACAAAACTTTTCAACTAACAAACTTTTCATCAAGATGAGAACTTATTATATTAGTTAACTTATTTGCTAAAAAATATTGTTGTTCATTTTTGTACTTTATAATATGTCTAATAATAATGGAAAAATAAAGCGTGAAAATAAATTTTTCTAATTGAGGTTATGTTTTCCACGCAAACTTCAAATCAAATAAGTTCCTCCGATTCCACCGTAATTAATCAATCCATCGGTTCATTGACACGCTGAAAATAACCGAAACAACCAACAGAGTAAAACGGTTTACCCCGAAAATAGATAAGATGTTTCCTCGCGAATACATTAACAGTCACATCATTCGCGACAGAAATAAATCGCTAGATTGAAAATAAGCTGGAGCTGTTATTTTCTCAATTTCGTATAGACAGCTCAGTGGACAACAGTTTGACAGATACGAATATTCTGAGGAATTAATTCAAATTTATTTTTGTGAAATGTGGATTCACAAAACACAAGAGTTTTGATTTGAGAAAGTAAACAAGTTTAATGTTCATTTAGATTATTCAGTTATTTATAAAGTTATGTAACGTAATGTATGGGTCGTATATGACCTATGTAGAATTTTGTGTTAAGATTCTATGGATGATCAATCATCAAATTTTTAATTTTTTAACCCTCAAATTTCTACTCTCAAGTTTTCAGATTTTCAAATTGTCAATTCTCAAATTTCTTCATTATCAAGTTTTCAGGTTTTCAAACTTTCAACCCTCAAATTTTTACTCTCAAATTTCTATATTCTGAAATTTCCAAGCACTCAAGTTTCTAAATTCCGAAATTTTTAAAGCCTCAAGCTTCCAAATTCTGAAATTTTCAACCCTCAAATTTCTAAACTCTCAAATTTCTAAATTTTGCAATTTCCAACCCTCAAATTTCTACACTCTCAAGTTTTCAAATACTGAAATTTCCAACCCTCAAATTTCTACACTCTCAAACTTCCAAATTCTGAAATTTCCAACACTCAAAATTCTATACTCTCAAGTTTCTAAATTCTGAAATTTCCAACCCTCAAATTTCCAAATTCTGAAATTTTCAACCCTTAAATTTTTACACTTAAGTTTCCAAATTCTGAAATTTTCAAACCCTTAAATTTAGACACTATCAAATTGTCAAATTCTGACAACCTCACCCTCAAACGTGCGAATAACTTTAACCTTCAAAGTCATCAAATCCCAATCTCTCAAACTCTGAAATTCCTAAATTCCTAAATTCAATTGAGACAAATCTCTTTTCTATTACTACGAAACATTCAAGAGTTCACGTTTCAAAAATCACTGCATTCTCCTTAATCACCCACTCACCCAAATACCAATGTATTTCAATGTTTCCTCTATAGATCGTATAAACAAAACTATCATATTAAATTTTACCTATTACTATCTCTCTTTCCATTTCTTTAAACAATTGTTCCATTTTTTAAAAATCGTTTATTCAAAATATCTTTTCAAATTACCAAACCTAAAATTCCTCAAAAAACTAAATTTCAACAAAAACTAGCGAATTACAACGAATGAATATTATCTTCA